TAAGGTTGATTTCCACTCCAAATGTCTTGTAATGTTGATGGACATGTGATTCAATGATTGGTTTTGTCATATAAACACATAAACTACTTAATTGTGTCATAATGACAAGATGTGCACGAGTACGAACTCTTAGTACCGACTCCAAATTGCACAATAAGGTGGATTTTTTCTCCAAATGTCTTGTAATGTTGATAGACTTGTGATTCTTTGATTGGTTTAGTCATGTAAACACATAAACCGCTTAATTGTGTCATAATGACAAGATGTGCACGAGCACGAACTCTTAGTACCAACTCCAAATTGCACAATAAGGTGGATATCCACTCCAAATGTCTTGTAATGTTGATGGACATGTGATTCAATGATTGGTTTAGTAACATAAACACATAAACCGCTTAATTGTGTCATAATGACAAGATGTGCACGAGTACAAACTCTTAGTAACGACTCCAAATTGCACAATAAGGTGGATTTCCACTCCAAATGTCTTGTAATATTGATGGACATGTGATTCAATGATTGGTTTAGTAATATAAACACATAAACCGCTTAATTGTGTCATAATGACAAGATGTGCATGAGTACGAACTCTTATTACCGACTTCAAATTGCACAATAAGGTGGATTTGCTCTCCAAATGTCTTGTAATGTTGATAGACTAGTGATTCTTTGATTGGTTTAGTCATGTAAACACATAAACCGCTTAATTGTGTCATAATGACAAGATGTGCACGAGTACGAACTCTTAGTACCGACTCCAAATTGCGCAATAAGGTGGATTTGGACTCCAAATGTCTTGTAATGTTGATAGACTTGTGATTCAATGATTGGTTTAGTCATATAAACACATAAACCGCTTAATTGTGTAATAATGACAAGATATGCATGAGTACGAACTCTTAGTACCGACTCCAAATTGCACAATAAGGTGGATTTTCTCTCCAAATGTCTTGTAATGTTGATAGACTTGTGATTCTTTGATTGGTTTAGTCATGTAAACACATAAACCGCTTAATTGTGTCATAATGACAGATGTGAACGAGTACGAACTCTTAGTACCGACTCCAAATTGCACAATAAGGTGGATTTGGTCTCCAAATGTCTTGTAATGTTGATAGACTTGTGATTCTTTGATTGGTTTAGTCATATAAACACATAAACCGCTTAATTGTGTCATAATGACAAGATGTGCATGAGTACGAACTCTTATTACCGACTCCAAATTGCACAATAAGGTGGATTTGCACTCCAAATGTCTTGTAATGTTGATATACTTGTGATTCTTTGATTGGTTTAGTCATGTAAACACATAAACCGCTTAATTGTGTCATAATGACAGATGTGAACGAGTACGAACTCTTAGTACCGACTCCAAATTGCACAATAAGGTGGATTTGCTCTCCAAATGTCTTGTAATGTTGATAGACTTGTGATTCTTTGATTGGTTTAGTCATACAAACACATAAACCGCTTAATTGTGTCGTAATGACAAGATGTGCATGAGTACGAACTCTTATTACCGACTCCAAATTGCACAATAAGGTGGATTTGCACTGCAAATGTCTTGTAATGTTGATAGACTACTGATTCTTTGATTGGTTTAGTCATGTAAACACATAAACCGCTTCATTGTGTCATAATGACAAGATGTGCACGAGCACGAACTCTTAGTACCGACTCCGAATTGCACAATAAGGTGGATTTCAACTCCAAATGTCTTGTAATGTTGATGGACATGTGATTCAATGATTGGTTTAGTCATATAAACACATAAACCGCTTAATTGTGTCATAATGACAAGATGTGCACGAGCACGAACTCTTAGTACCGACTCCAAATTGCACAATAAGGTGGATTTTCTCTCCAAATGTCTTGTAATGTTGATAGACTTGTGATTCTTTGATTGGTTTATTCTTGTAAACACATAAACCGCTTAATTGTGTCATAATGACAAGATGTGCACGAGCACGAACTCTTAGTACCAACTCCAAATTGCACAATAAGGTGGATTTCCACTCCAAATGTCTTGTAATGTTGATGGACATGTGATTCAATGATTGGTTTAGTCATATAAACACATAAACTGCTTAATTGTGTCATAATGATTAGATGTGCACGAGTACGAACTCTTAGTACCGACTCCAAATTGCACAATAAGGTGGATTTTTTCTCCAAATGTCTTGTAATGTTGATAGACTTGTGATTCTTTGATTGGTTTAGTCATGTAAACACATAAACCGCTTAATTGTGTCATAATGACAAGATGTGCACGAGCACGAACTCTTAGTACCGACTCCAAATTGCACAATAAGGTGGATTTTCACTCCAAATGTCTTGTAATGTTGATGGACATGTGATTCAATGATTGATTTAGTCATATAAACACATAAACCGCTTAATTGTGTCATAATGACAAGATGTGCACGAGTACGAACTCTTAGTACCGACTCCAAATTGCACAATAAGGTGGATTTTCTCTCCAAATGTCTTGTAATGTTGATAGACTTGTGATTCTTTGATTGGTTTAGTCATGTAAACACATAAACCGCTTAACTGTGTCATAATGACAAGATGTGCACGAGCACGAACTCTTAGTACCAACTCCAAATTGCACAATAAGGTGGATTTCCACTCCAAATGTCTTGTAATGTTGATGGACATGTGATTCAATGATTGGTTTAGTCATATAAACACATAAACTGCTTAATTGTGTCATAATGACAAGATGTGCACGAGTACGAACTCTTAGTACCGACTCCAAATTGCACAATAAGGTGGATTTTTTCTCCAAATGTCTTGTAATGTTGATAGACTTGTGATTCTTTGATTGGTTTAGTCATGTAAACACATAAACCGCTTAATTGTGTCATAATGACAGATGTGAACGAGTACGAACTCTTAGTACGGACTCCAAATTGCACAATAAGGTGGATTTGCTCTCCAAATGTCTTGTAATGTTGATAGACTTGTGATTCTTTGATTGGTTTAGTCATATAAACACATAAACTGCTAAATTGTGTAATAATGACAGATGTGAACGAGTACGAACTCTTAGTACCGACTCCAAATTGCACAATAAGGTGGATTTGCTCTCCAAATGTCTTGTAATGTTGATAGACTTGTGATTCTTTGATTGGTTTAGTCATGTAAACACATAAACCGCTTAATTGTGTCATAATGACAAGATGTGCACGAGCACGAACTCTTAGTACCGACTCCAAATTGCACAATAAGGTGGATTTCCACTCCAAATGTCTTGTAATGTTGATGGACATGTGATTCAATGATTGATTTTGTCATATAAACACATAAACTGCTTAATTGTGTCATAATGACAAGATGTGCACGAGTACGAACTCTTAGTACCGACTCCAAATTGCACAATAAGGTGGATTTTCTCTCCAAATGTCTTGTAATGTTGATAGACTTGTGATTCTTTGATTGGTTTATTCATGTAAACACATAAACCGCTTAATTGTGTCATAATGACAAGATGTGCACGAGCACGAACTCTTAGTACCAACTCCAAATTGCACAATAAGGTGGATTTCCACTCCAAATGTCTTGTAATGTTGATGGACATGTGATTCAATGATTGGTTTAGTCATATAAACACATAAACTGCTTAATTGTGTCCTAATGACAAGATGTGCACGAGTACGAACTCTTATTACCGACTCCAAATTGCACAATAAGGTGGATTTGCACTCCAAATGTCTTGTAATGTTGATAGACTAGTGATTCTTTGATTGGTTTAGTCATGTAAACACATAAACCGCTTAATTGTGTCATAATGACAAGATGTGCACGAGCACAAACTCTTAGTACCGACTCCAAATTGCACAATAAGGTGGATTTCCACTCCAAATGTCTTGTAATGTTGATGGACATGTGATTCAATGATTTGTTTAGTCATATAAACACATAAACCGCTTAATTGTGTCATAATGACAAGATGTGCACGAGCACGAACTCTTAGTACCGACTCCAAATTGCACAATAAGGTGTATTTGCACTCCAAATGTCTTGTAATGTTGATATACTTGTGATTCTATGATTGGTTTAGTCATGTAAACACATAAACCGCTTAATTGTGTCATAATGACAGATGTGAACGAGTACGAACTCTTAGTACCGACTCCAAATTGCACAATAAGTGGATTTGCACTCCAAATGTCTTGTAATGTTGATAGACTAGTGATTCTAAGATTGGTTTAGTCATGTAAACACATAAACCGCTTAATTGTGTCATAATGACAGATGTGAACGAGTACGAACTCTTAGTACCGACTCCAAATTGCACAATAAGGTGGATTTGCTCTCCAAATGTCTTGTAATGTTGATAGACTTGTGATTCTTTGATTGGTTTAGTCATGTAAACACATAAACCGCTTAATTGTGTCATAATGACAAGATGTGCACGAGCACGAACTCTTAGTACCGACTCCAAATTGCACAATAAGGTGGATTTCCACTCCAAATGTCTTGTAATGTTGATGGACATGTGATTCAATGATTGATTTAGTCATATAAACACATAAACTGCTTAATTGTGTCATAATGACAAGATGTGCACGAGTACGAACTCTTAGTACCGACTCCAAATTGCACAATAAGGTGGATTTGC